CTAAAACATAGGAAATGAAAGTGATTTGAAAGTAAACATCCGAAGACTTGAGAATACTAAATGCTTCTGAAAATGCTGGCTGGTGACAACCAAGCTGTTGTATCAACTCATACAGCTCCTTCTGTCAGCTGCAGCCAGTGATTCAGAATTTGGCACGCAGGCCCTTCCTGCTCCCCCTGTACCCCCTGGCCAGCTGGAGAGCTCTGGGGTGATAAGATTAGCAGGCGGCGGGGCCCGAGAGGAGCACTGGTGGGGTGTGAGCCATGTATCTGGCCGTTCTCACCTGCAGGGACAGGAACCTGGAGACCGGATGGGGGTGCAGGCGCCCCTCTCCCTGGGGCCAGGATGAGGCTGAGGGTAAACAGGGGCAAGGCACCTGCCAGCCCACGGCCCTGCCCCTCCTTGGGGAGTGATCAGGTGAACGCACGGGGGTGTGTGCCCAGGCCGGGTGTGGTTGGGGTCGAGCACTGGGGCTCATCTGCTTGGGCCAGGCTGCTGCAGCTCTGGAGCCCCCAAGAAGCCAGGAGAGCCACCTGTGAGACGCGCAGACTGTGCCAGGCACGGCCTTGTGCATACCTACCCTGTGAGGTGTGCGGCATCTGCCCCCCTGGGCCAAAGGGCATGACTAGCTCCAGCTGAGAAGTCCTAGAGGAAAGCCAGGTACCCAGGCCTCTCTGCATCCAGTCTGTGCTCCCATCACCCTCTGGGTGCCACAGACAGCTGCTCCAGCCCCACGCCAGCACCTTCCCGGGATGTTGAGAACCAGAGGGCCACTGGGCAGGCTGGGCACTACTGGGCCAGGGCCACCACAGTGATGTCTGCTGGGGGCTCTGGTCAGCTCGGGCTTTGACACTGGCCTCGCTGTGTGGCCCTGGTGTGATCAGCTCCGCATCCTGTCCCCATCCCCTTGTCCACTCCTGCTGGGGTCTGGCTTTGGAGCAAGTCCTAGCTTCTTTCTGGGAAGTTGCTCAGGGTGCCTTTTATCCCACAGTTCCTGCCTCTTGCAGTCAGGGTCTGAGGACAGACAAGGCTGACACAGCCTCTGCCCTCCCTGAGCTGACAGTTTGGGGGAGCATGGGGGACAGACTAGACAAACAAATCAACCAACCAGTTACACGAGTAACTGTACCTGTGACGTGTGCCTCCAACAGCAGAGCGGGATGACAGGACACAGAGGGGATGGCTGAGCCTGAGCAGGGCAGGCAGCCTGGGAGGTGCTAGGGGAAAGTGAAGTGATTTAAACTGAGCCCGCAGGATGAGTGGGAAGGCCCAGGGGTGCTGCAGCAGAGATGAGGACGGGAAAGCCCCAGGCGGGAAGGACAATGGGCCATCTGGGGAACAGGAAGTACAGAGGGGCCCTGAGAGCAAGGAGGCGAGTGAGGCAAGAGGGGGCTGCCGAGGGAGGAGGGATGTGTGCCCTGCCGGCGGTTAAGGACTCCCTTTGGGCCCTTCTGATGGGAAGCCAAGCCTAGGTGTGGCCGCAGGAACCGACAGACCGTGGGAGGGTAAGAAGGCAGCAGCTCCTCTGCATCCTCACGGCTCAGGACCAGGTGGGCCAGCAGTGTGGGAGGGGCACTGAGAGGAGACGGGTGGGCTGCCCAGGCTCCTGCCTGCCGGCCCCCCTCCCGCACAGGCTCCTTCTCTGCAGCTGGCGATCCAGGGCCACAAACAATGTGGAGAATCTCCGGCCGGGCTGTGGAATGGACAGGATTCTATTTATAAGCACAGAGGGGCTGAACAATGGAGCAACTGCCACCTGCGGTGGGTCTATGGCTGACCTCCTGTGGGGCTCTGGAAAGCCTCAAAGCCAGACCCCTGAAGAGACTGCAGAGGAAGGAGGGGATTACACGGCCAAAGGGCGTGGGGCCAGCTGCTTCCTCCAGAGTCTGATCACCTTCATCGGGGAGCAGCCAGCAAGCCCCCATGGGCTCCACGGCACCTCTGTGCTGCCCCACCACCCGGGGCCGTGGTGTAGACAGATGATCATGTACAAAGTTGGAGGCCGCAGAACTGGGGCAAATGACTACACAATGGGCAGGACGTTGACCGTGGTCCTCATCCAATGCTGGCTCATTTCCACAGGCGGGCATGACAGGTGCGCGAGGGGCCCGGCAGTGTCTCTGCCACAGCTGGGCAGGTATTTCTTCTAAAATGAGCGAGCACCTTGAGGAAAAACAATCATGAGAGCTAACGGTGGGTGGCGGCCGGGGCAGAGGGCCGGGGGGGTGGCGTGGGGCGGGGCAGGATGCTCCACCACTGCCTGGCTCGAGACTCAGCAAACTGCCTGGTCTCATTCTCATCGGGAAGATGTTAACTTAAACATGAAAACGCCCATGAAGCACTTAGGACAGACAGTGCCTGGCACGTGGTAATCACCCAATAAACTATCACTACTATTACTGTCGAATATGAGAGGAACGTGTGTTGGAAACACAACCCGCAGGAAGCAAGCTACGCTTTTGTCCAGCGACACCAATGATGAGGCAGTTCTCGGGACAAATGCCAAGGAATGTGGCTCCAGCAGAAAGGGTCCCAGGTAAAAAGATCTGGGAAATGGCAGACCAGTTCCTCTTACTGATTTACAAAGCAAATTTGCATATTAAAGGCTCAAGAATCCTCCACTAAAAAGATCTCTTAAGTTTTGCTCTGTTCATTCTTTTCCCCAACTTATCTGACCATGGAAACCTTTCTGTTTTGGCTCAATGTCCAAACTTCCCACAGAAACATTTTGAAAACAGAAGAGGTTTGGCGGCTACAACCACCTCAGTCCAACTGCTTTCTTCTCTCATGTGAGTTGACGAAGGAACAGACAAATCAGGGAGAATGGAGGAGGAAGAGACATCCTGCACAGCCCTGGGCTGGGCGCACACCCGCCCCTGCTTTCCACCCAGCAGGTGACACTAGGAGGAACAGGAATGTGACAGCCAGCCAATGCCTGGAAGCACTGGTCAGGTGCTTGGAGAGAAACAGAGGGAACCCACGAGTTGACCAAACTGAAGAGAAAAGGAAAGGGTGACAGAACCAAGCCCAGGAGGATGCAGGGACCTCCCACCCAACACGTTACTTTGTCTAAAAGACACCCTCACCTGGTGTCTGCCAGGGGGCCCCACAGCTGGGTAGAAGATGCTCCCCACCCCAAGCCAGAGGCGGCTGATGCGGGAATCTAGAATTGTTTGCCCCAGACTTAGGGCAAAGTCTGCAAGGTGAGAACAGCCACCATTTAGTGAGAACCTACTTTGTGCTGGTCAGCACCTCATTTAATCCTCATAACTGCCCTGCAAGGTTGGGATCTCACCTTTTCACCACTGAAGAAGCAGCCCTCATGACACTAAGAGGCCAGTGCCTTGCTCTGGTCCCGGAGCTAGTGAGGGTTGGAGTCAGGGTCAGCCACGCCCTCTCTATAGGGCCAGGGACCCGGACCAGAAACATCTCTGAGTGATGCCAGAAACAGAAGGCAAAGCTGAAGCAGCATCAGGATGCTGGAGGGGATGGGGGCCACCAGCTCAGGAGCAGGGGGCTTCACAGCCACATCAAGATGCAGCGGGGTCTGTGCGCTCGTCCACTTTGTTCGTTGGGTTCATCCTGCCTCTGAGAAACCCAATTCGTGGCCTCTATCACTGCACTGCCATCTGAAGTGCCAATTATGAATACACGACACTGACATCTGGAAAAGCCCAGCAAAACGTGACTTAGCTCATTAAACTGCCTTCCCCCTTTCCCTTCCTGCCTTTCCTGAGTGACACAAGCTGAAATACGAATGAAGCCAACTGTGGCTGCCCACCTCCCCACTGCAGCTGACTGCTCTGTGGAAGCTGGGTGCGGGCCTCCTCCTGGCTGATCTGCAGTTGTGGTCCCTTCTCGCTGTGACACGACCCCCACACTCTCACCCCAGCTCTCTCCTGCTCTCTGTCTGCCCCAATTTGGGAAAGGCTCGCGCCCCACCATCGTCTCCCCGGGCAGGCTGGAGCCACTGCGTGTTCCCAGCCCAACATCCTGGGAGCTTGGGTTTCAGGGGCTGTGTGCTGGCAGGGCTCTGACATGACCCCTGCCACCTACCAGCAAAATCGACCCCAAAAAAGGAACTGAGAGGGGCTCCCGCGCCAGCAGTACATTCCCCGGTGCTGCTGCCCGACAGCGAGTGTGGGGGTGTTATCTGGCCCAGGACAGCTGATACGGCCTTCTGGAGAGATGTCACATGCCACCTCAATGGAGGATTAATGCAGAGAATTTGAGGTCAAGGGTTTAGGCTGAACCAGCTTCTATTTATAAAAAAAAAAAAGAGCCTCTGGGAGAAACATAAGGGCAGGAGACGGCTGGCTGGGTGCCGGTCGGTAGGAGGACACACCAAGGCAGAGTTGGCCCCTGTCATTCAGTCACATCGCTCCCTTTAAAGGTAGGCCCTCCACCGCGAGCTTTTCCTACTGAAATTCTAGTTCCTTTGTCTCAAGATGGCCCCGGGTAGAAACCAGGGGGAGCACATGCAGGAGGAACAGGCCCCACGCCCGGCTGTGTGGGCGTCTGGGGCGCTGGTTCCGCGGCTGAGGGGGCCTCACAGGAGAGCAGCTGGAGACAGACTCTTCGATTCTGCAAGGACTGAAAAGGGTACCTGTTAAACGATGGAGATCCAAGCTCTCTGCAGGAGGCAGACGTCCTAGCTCATGGAGCACGTGGACAGACGCATTCTACTCCCACCAGCTGCACAGAAAACAGGACAAGTCATCCAGGGACCTAATTCCCGCCTAGGGTTCCTGAAACCCGACGTGCTGCACTAGGAGACTCCTCTTCTGATGAGCGTAAGAAACCACGGAAGTCACTGCCTAGGGCGGCGTCCAGGCCCAGCTTCAGTCCCACTGAACCTGAACCTGCAGGACTGGGGGCTCGTGAGTCCGTGCTGTGCACAGAACCCCAGGGAAGTGGGAGGCAGCGGCGGGCGGGGACCACAGAGCAGGCTGAGGCCTCCCTTCCCAACAAGCCGACAGAACCAGCGAGGCCACACTGGCTGTAAGGTGACAGATTACATCACATGGAAAACTTTTATTAGAACTTTTCAAAACACAACTTTCCAGTATGTAAAAATCTAAACAACTGCCCCTTTCCAGGCCTCCCCTGCTAATGGCCCGAGCCGGAACGCCACTGCATTCCGGGCCTTAGAGGGAACCAGTTCCCACTCCCACGCTGTGCAAGGCCGTCCCTGGGCGAGCCCAGGCCTGAGTTCTAACATGCCCAGACCTGAGAGCGCTGCGCTACAAGCACTTGGATAAGACAGGAGTTACGACCTCTCAGCCACCCCACGGGACTCCTGTTGTGGTCCCGGGCAGGAGCAACGGTTTCTCAACTCCTGGGTCTACTACCTGTGCTGTGGTTAAATGACGAAGAGCCAGGACGGTGACCAATGTCACCATCGCCTACTGGAGATAAAGTCAACTTCTCAATCAGCTGCCCTCCCTTCTCCAGAGTAGAAGTGAGCTGTGGGACACATGGCGCCCAGGAGCCAGACCGAGGAGGGGAGCCAGACCGAGGAAGCTGCTCCAGGGCAGCGCACCAGCCGGTCAGTGCTCACTGGGGTGCTCGCCATGCCCACCTCACCCCCCAACCACCGCTCTGAAACTCAGTGATGCCAGCATACTGCATAAGGGAGTTTCTCTCCCTCCACCCAATCGTGAAGTTGGCACCTTGAGGGCCCTGATACCCAACAGCAAAAGGGACACGAAGAAGAGACACCATGTTATATCCTCCAAAGGGGGCTGGCCAGCACTCGACCTCTTCCCTCCGGGGAGGGCTCTGGGCAAGGAAGACCAGGGAGGCTGTCTGGGAGAAGCTCTTGCCTCTCAATACCCTGTGCTGGGTTTTTTGGCGCTGCCTTTGAAGACAGACACTGCTGTCTGCTGGACGGCTGTGCAGGTTTCTCAAGGCCACAGGAGTGAGGAAACCTCTCTCCTTGGCTGTGACCTGAAAACACCCACATACATTCTGTATGGAAACAGACCAAGCGGTTTAATAGCAGAGGGGAAACAACGAACAGAAAACAAAACAAGCAATCAAACATCTCTGGAGTCTGGTTTCCGCTGTTTCTTTCTGGGTGTGTATTTCAATAAGAATGTCCATTTCAAAGGACTGCTCCAGGGTTTCTCAGCAAAGAGGAGCTGAGAACGCAGTTGGTCACAGGAACAGAAAGGAGCACAGACACCCGCTCAGCTTCTCCAGCCGCCGAAGCCCTGGACAGACCTGCAAGGAAGCACCGGGAGAGGCAGATCAGCTCCTGCTCCGACAAAGGGCTTCGGGGCTCAAGCCACTGACAGTGTGCAAAGTTCAGGACTTTGAATTTTTAATGTCATGCAATTCTACACAGACACATAGAGTGAGGATCAAAAAATAAGACTTGGTAATGGGCTTGGTGCCCAGGACTCAGCATGAAGCTTCTGAGACTAACAGGGAAGTAAGGAAAAGCCTCTCTCGAGTCCTGCCTTCTGGTCTCTGCTCATCAGGAGGCAGACTCTTTTCTGTCTCATGCACGGCCCTTGAGGAGACCAGGCCTGGCACCTCCTGCCACCCGCCTACCAAGATCAGCAAGTCCACAAAACCCAGAACCTGCTGCTAAACCACCACGCTTCCAGGACAGGAAAGACGGACACAAAATGTACATACAGAGCAAAAACCGTATCTCCACCTCCCACACACTCTTCCATCCTCATTTAATGACTCAACACCAGAGAGGGATACTTACGAGCTAGATGATCCAAAGCTGAATACTGCAGAAGAGGAAAAGGGTGGAGTTAAAACAGACACTTGAGAGACAAAGGTGGTCTCTAGGCCACATTCCTCCCCTCCCTTTTACCCCAGGGAAAGCCCTCCTCCCCTACTTTCTGCAGGTCGACTGGGAAGGAAGGGGAGGCGTCCTTTCCGGATTTCAGGGTTCCTCCCTCCTCCCTGGCTTGGTGTCTGCAGAGGGTCTTTGGCACAGCCTCTCTCACTGCTGTACCGCACCACAGAGATCCATTTCATCAGCAAAATGTGTTTTTTCCACTTTTCACATAAAGCTTCCTCTTCCTCTTAAGGCTAGAGCAGCAAGACGCCCGGGTTCTAGGCCTGGCTCTGCTGCTCACCGGCTGGCCTTTTGGGCAAATTGGCCCCTTGGAGTTTTTGTGTCATTTGCAAAATAGTAATGATGCCTAACTTCTCTGCCTCAGAAGGGTGTTGCAAGGGTAAAAGCAGAATGTACGCATTCTACTATCTGCAGAAGCAGAGGGTCAAACGAAAGAAAGGCATTTTGTGGAGTCTTTACATCTTATTTTTATTTTTTTCTACATCTTACTTTTTGAGTCTCCTAGTGTAACTTTTAAACCAAGGTCTAGGAGGATGGTTTTTTTTTTGGGGGGGGGTTCTCAAATCTTGAGGGAAAAGTCAAGTCAGCCATTTCTTCATTTGGTAAGAAATGGCACAATGTTACAAGTCTTAATTAAAACCTAAAAGAACGTTTTGCCTTTCAAGCGCTTCCTGCTTTTACAGTATCAGCCCGAACAGCCAGGAAGAACCGCCTGTTCTTTTGGAGGGGTGGGGGGTGGGGGTCAGGCATTTACTGAGGAGAAGACGGGAGGGACCACAGTGAGGGAGGATGTCTGGCTGCCTACCTCCTCCGCCTGATCCAAAGCTGGAGAATCCCCCGCTCTGGGTCCCAAACCCAGAAGACTGTTGGGACAGCGATCCAAAAGTTGGGGCGTTCTGACTTGCGAGGGTGCCGAAGGATGTGGTGTTGCTGCTGCTCCCAAACCTGGGTTCCGGGGGGAAATCAGACCACAGTTAGCGCAGCCACGCAGTCCCTCTGCTGCCCGACTGCCTCAGTCCACCCTCCTAAGTCTTAGGATGCACGACATACATGATTCGAGGTGACGTGCTTGGTTTAAACTAGCAGCCGCTCAGGAAAAACAGGCTAGAGCCCAGAGCAAACCTTCAGCTCAGCTTTGGGAAGAAAAATAATAGGAATACAACATGAAATCCAATTTGCCTGGTGTTTCAGTGTTCGTCCGCTGTCTGGAAATTCCAGCTCATTGGTCCTGCTCTAACCCTACTCCTCCTGCCGGCCTCTCCTACACGACTGTGGGGGCTCCTCACAGATCAGCCGGGGTCACAGACAGCTTCATGGCCAGGGACCCGAAAAAAGGTGACGGGCTCTCTTGGGGATTTCATACCAAAGTGGGTACTCAGCTCTGCTAGACAAAATGGAACTAACCTGCCAGGCGGGATTTCTGTGGGAGAGCCCCCATCGCCAAGGCAGAATGTGATACTTTCTTTTTCACTAGTGAGGAAAATAGCTGGTTTCAAATAAGTAAAAACCACAAGACCCCTAGTCAACCACAGCCCTTCCACCAGCTCGGTGGCCTTACGTGCTGGGCGGTCACTGGGGAGATCGGCGCCCACCAGAGCCTGCTGAGAAGACCGGCTTAAGTCAGTCCCAACGCTCCTTTAAAAGCTTTCCTTAACTTCAAGTCTTGGGGTTTCCTGATTTCTTGGGAGAAACTTAAGAGACCCATCAGTCTCTGCATGAAATCCAAGAAGCAATATACCAACTTGCTCACTTTCCTTGAAACTCACCAGCATTTCTGTACAGCGTCTCTCACGGAGAGAAAAGGTATGAACACGTTTATTTTCAAGGTAAAGACACTGTCACCTTGCCAACACTCATTCCGAGTACGCTGACAGGTTCTCCCAAACACCCCCAATCTTCAGCTTTACACGTCCTGAGCGAGCGCCAAGGGTGGCGAGAGGTCTATCAGAGGTTGGCTTCAGACAGTAATACCTCCTCTGAACGAGACCCTTTGCAGTCGCCACCACACGTATCTTACTGGGACTCTGTGGTGTGGTGAAGGCTATCTTCTCGGGATTGTGGTAACCAGGCTGGATTTCGGGGCCCTTACAAGCAAATCTGACAGTAAGAGCAGCTTTGAGCACCTGAGACTCTGAAACGTGTACGGGGTCCTGGCAGTGCCTCCGTGGCCACTGGCCCAGGGGACTGCGGACTGAAAACCCACTCTGGGGTCTGGAGTGGGGCAGGGGACACAGAGTCGTTTGCCCAGGACAACGGGTCTACTGCACAACAACCCCAAGAGGAAAGAATCCGGTGAAAGCTATTCACCCAGAATTTCCTAGCAGTAGTCACCACACAAGGGCAATCTCGGCTGTCAAGCAGCCAAGGTGAGACTACTCCCCTTCCTTTAACCAATCCTTCAGCTCCAACAGGAGGACAGGGACCTGCCAACCAGTACCCTGAGTAACAGGAGACAGCAACACAGCAGATGTCCGCCGTGTGCTCGACAGAGTCTGGCTTGGAAGAAACAAGCCTTCCGCCAGAGAGAACAGGAATCCTGGACCGACTGGCTCGCTGACTGAGGGAAGGGCCTTCAGCTCAGTCAAGAGTAGGGATCAAAACAGGAGAGCTGGGCCCAGTGCCTCTGCTGGCCTGAGCGTGGGGGCTTCCCCAGGCCCTGCCCCAGGGGGCTTACCCGAATCCTCCTGCGCTGGCAGCCGCAGTACCCTCTCCGAACACTTTGCCTCCCGTCGAGCCCAGAGGGCTTGTAAAGGCTGGGGCTGAACCGAATGCTGGCACCCCTCCAAACCCAGGGGATCCCCCAAAAGTAGGAGGGCTGCCAAACACTGGAGCAGCACCGAAGCCACCTGAGCAAAACAGAGGCAAACAAACAAAAACAGGGAGAAAAAAGGGAGACAGGAAGAGAAGATAATGAGTAGTGAGAAACCAAATCAAAAGAGGAAGGAAAAAAGGGAAAATATGTTAGAAATTCAAATACAAAACACCAGAGCAAAGGGTAATATCCCTTCTATCAGCAAAATGATCAAATCAAACCCAAACCAAACACTAAACCTCCACCCTCTCCATTTCTAGCCGAGGGCCTGGGGTCCACTCAAGAAAGCTCCTTGGAATTTTAAGACTCCAGCAGGCCCCATGTTTGTCTGCGAGATCCCCAGTCCCTCCCAGAGGCAAGCTGGACTCATCGGCTCCAAGGCTCTTGAGGCCTCGACCCGACTGCCACCAAGAACCAACTCGGTGCCTCTCAGGCCCTCTGTGGTCTCTGACGTCTCACCAAAAAATCACTCTCAAAACCTCCAATCCCTATCCAGCTGTCAAACTGGCCAGATTTTATTACTTATCATCACACAGGCAAGGCATGTAGCTTCATGGAAGCACCAATGATAAAGTTAGAGGCTCAAAATCCACTCTGGGGGAGAATCTGGGAGCTGGTTACAGTGGGGACGGAGACACACGGTGCTGGCGCTCGGCCAGGTGCTTGTTACTTATTTAAAGCCCGATGCTCTCGCATCTCTCACAGGAGTCTCCTTGTGCAAAAGAATTTTTTTAAAATGCTCTCTCTCCGCTGTCAGAATACTCCTCAGTAAACAAGCACACCGAGTTTCTTGTCTGGAGGAAGACTGCTGCTGCGTGGCTGTGATAAGGCAAACAACCAGCTGCAGGAGAGCCCTCGGCGGCCACGGCCCCGGGCAGGCTCCCGGCAGCACGGCTCGGGCGGACACAGGCCGGGGGCAGCACAGGCAGTGACCGCAAAGGCAGGGTCAGGCGCGCCCGAGGCAGCACCCCCCTCACATTAATGGATGCCCATTGGGCAGGAAGACAGACGTGCCTTCCCTAACTACTCCTTCTGCTCCTAAGGAGGCTTCCCAAGCCCCAAGGACTGCTTAAATTATTCTAGGTTATTAGCAGAGACCCTCGGTGAGAATCGGCTGAACGAATAAAACGGTACAAGAAATGTGCTCTCAAGGGCAGTATCTCTTAAAATGACTGCTGGCCTAGCAGCCACATGCTGAGCGCAATAATGGTGGCCTAGCTCAGTGAGGAGGCGACTTGCCCAAGGAGACGGGGGCTTCCTTCTAGGACGCCCCTTTCAGAAAGTGAATTCCATTGTTTGAGGCATCAGTCAGGCCTTTTTTGTGTGTGTACTGAGAATCAGCCAATGCATTTTTTTTAAACTGAAGTGTAGTTGATTTACAATGTTAGTCTCAGGTGTACAGCAAAGTGATTCAGTTACACATATACATATACATGTATTTTCAGATGCTTTTCCATTATACGTTATTACAAGTAATTGAATACATTTCCCTGTGCTATACAGCAGGTCCTTGTTGTTTATCTATTTTATATATAGTAGCATGTATCTGTTAATCCCAAACTCCTCAATCAGGCCTTCTTATTAAAGTATAACCACACCACAAGCTTCTGCCACTGGAATCAGGAAAGACCAAATACGAGGTATGAAAAGCTGCCAGCTGAATTCCTTGGTTCACTTCTATTTTGTGATTCAGTCATTTGCTTATTTACCATTAACAGCAGAAGCACAACTGAGAAGGTACTTTCTGCTCGGGCTCAGGTTGGGGTTTACATTCTGTATTTTAAAACCTTGAGTGAAATTCCAAGCCATGATAATGGAGGCTGTTGGGTTACAAATATAACAGACTGGAAAAAAAGAAAGTGCTAAAAAAACCCTCGCAGCTGAATTATTGAAGACTGATCCTGGATCTGGTTACGCTTTCTTCCTAGACACACAGGGTTTTATCTAGTGCCTCGTACTCAATATTGTTCAGAGTTCCTGGTGGAAGGCGAGTGAAAAATGAGAAGTCACAACAATACAGAAAGTAAACTGGACAGGGAAGGGAGGAGATTAAATACACACACACACACACACACACACACACAAAGTGCCCCCCAAACAACGAACCCAGGTCACAGTGAAATGAAAAGGGAAGAGAGTGGTCACTGTGGCCTTATTTTGGAGATAGGCAACTCACTTCTGATGCTAGGAGGGGCCCAATTTTATTAGATGCTGTATTTTCAAGATTTTCTTCTCCAGAAGAAACAGAAACTCGGCAGTAATCAATGATGGTAAGATTTCTGATTTCCCGAGGGCCCCAATGTGCCAGGGGCTGTACAGTGGTCTGTTTTGATCCGCCCAACAACCCTGGGATCCCCCTGCACAGGTGAGAAAACCGAGGCTTAGACACTATGTTGCTTGTCTGGTTTGGCCAGCTGTTACTGATAGAGATGAGACTGGAACAAAGTCTGAGTGACTCAGAGGGCCACCTATCATCTGATCATCATGTGTCACACAGCTTCCCTCTGCTGCCATTTGATTCACAACTCCAGTGACAGGACAGCGTGAACCCAGTGGACTGGGGGCAGCAGTAAGGTCATTCTGAGTGTGTCCCACCTCTGTCCTCTCCTCAAATCACCTCCAGCAGTACTACTTCCTAAGGCAACTACACTCCAGGGAGGATGGACACTTATGGAATTTCTCAGAGACCCACCCAAACCATCAATCTAAAATCCCTCGAGTCTTCAATTTAGGTAGTTTCATGGGAGCAAGTAATCAAATAGGAAAAAATATTCTGAAAGGTGAGAGGACAAATTTTCTTTAAGACTGAAAAAATAAAAGGGGCAGATTCTCAAAGCAACTGGGACACGATCCCAGGACAAGGAACAACATGTAAGAAAAACACAAGAATCAAAGAAAACACTATCAGGTTCCTCAAAAAATAAATCTAAAAGTCTTGATTAATACGCTCAAACTTCTCAGTCAAATAATATTTACCTTGTTAACTAGAACCAAAAGCTTCTTAGCTCTTTCATTTTTAAGTCCTTCACCGCAGGGAAGGGTGGGGGCAAAATAAAGCTGCAATGCTCATTTCTGGTCCATTTTAATTCCAGGGAAGAGTATAAAAAGATTAACCCATCTCAGTTATGGGTCTGAGTAAAGGTGCATAGTGCATTTGTTTTTGTTTTTTTGCGGGGGAGGCGTTAATTAGGTTTATTTATGTATTTATTTTAATGGAGGTACTGGGGATTGAACCCAGGACCTCATGCATGCTAAGCACATGCTTTACCACTGAGCTCTACCCTCCTCGCCATAGTGCATTTGGAAACCACAGCAACTGAGGTTCTAAAAGGTGGGATTCCAGGTACAAATCCGGGGTACCCTGCTCCTCAGTCACAGCCGCCTGGGCACCTGCTTCTCAGGTAGGATCCTTCCTCAGGAATCCCCATATACTCAGAGTATCCTGCAGATACAAGGGGCAAGTATCCTGCCCGCTTGCCTGAGGGTATTTGCTTTAAAGAACCGCTTTCTCAGAAAACATCCTCCCTCTCTGTCCCCGTCTTTAAACAATCTTTTCACACAGTTTCCCACACAACAAAGGAAGGTATGCAGACTCTAGATCTGAGACAGAAACAGGAGAGAGAGGTGGTTGACAGAGATGAAGATTTTTTTTGCATCTAAACATATATTGCTCTTTAAAATTTTTAATTGTTAAGTGTAATAATCACGATTATAAAAAGCCAGTTTATAAATACATACTTTAAAAGTAATGCTGAGATAAAAAGCAGTACTGCAATGTTCTTTATTCCCAACTACATGGGTATATTCCAACTGTGAAAAGTAACCGAGCAGTAGAGTTGTATGTGGATACAGTATATGTACAGGAATATGTCATACATTTATGTGTGTTTTACTCAAAAGTTAAAAAAGGAATGTGGAAAAGAGGACAAAAAGACAGCCACATAAAAAATTAAACAGATGATCTGCTTGCCCTTCACAGGTAACGGGCACCCAAGACGATCTGACCCAGGATGCTCCAGTTCACACGTCAGTCATCACCTTCTTGTCTGTTCCCTAACTTTGCTTGTTGTGCAACGCTACGTATTTACAATGCCTTCTTCTCTAGGACGACACTAAGTTCTCTTAAGGGTTGCATTACATGCATTCTGTGCTTTTCAACATGTCTCAGGAGACGTGGAACAGTGTTAGGAACCTAACAGACGCTCAATAAATAGACAGTGAATTTGGGGGCGACGTCTCTCCACACACCCTCCAGTCCCACTCCCTAGAGAACCACCTCACCCCGAGAGCTCCCCTCCTAGAGGTCTATGCGTGTTAAGCACACCTATAACCACGACCACAGTGAATAGGTGCAGGAGTACCTGTTTTATTTGGAGCGGAAAACCCAAAGCCTTGGGATGCCACACTTCCTCCTCCAGAGCTGAACGTGCCCGCAGGTTTCTGGTCTCCAAACGATGAGCTGGCAAACCCACCAAATGTCTTGGCTCCGCTGTTCCCGAACAGGCTGGAGGTATCTGGAGAGACGAGCAGCACGCGTGAGGGAGAGCAGAGGGAGAAAAAGCCCTCGCCCATTCATAGAACAGATGAGGAAGGACGCTCACGTGGTGTCTGGGGGGAAGGGGGTGACAATGAAGTCGAGGGTCCAAGAGGGCAGAGCAGCAGTGAAACGGAGACCGTCTCGGACCTGCGTGTATGTGAGTGCAGGGTTTTACTCATTCTGGTACCCGGGCTCGGGATTTCCTGGCATGCTTCTATAGGCATAAAATAAAGGGGCAGCAACAGGCCCCAGCAAAGAGGCTTTTTTGCAGAAACACATTCTGTGCACCCAAAGGTATCAGGTCTGTGCAGCAGAGGACCAGTCTCACAGCTGCACACAAGACTGGCTTCTTCTGAAGAATGGGGCTTGTTTTCACGGCTCTCCTTTTTGTCAAACTAGAGAAAACTAAGCGAGAGCAAATCCAAACCAAACATAATGGCTTCCAGCATTCTGCTTTTATAGTCTAGCTGGGCATGCTGGCTGTTGCCTGATCTGAGCAGAGAACGGCAGACAAAGTAGGGAAAACCCTGCGCTCCTACCTCTGATCCAATGGGAACTAGGGATGCTCTGAAGAATGCAAGTGGCCGGCAAGACTTCCAGTCTGATTTCCTCTTTCTAAGAGGTTCAACTAAGCCCTTGACCTTTTAGATGCCTATCTAGTGGGTCGCTCCCTCAGCTACACACTACTCCCCTTCAAGAATGAAAGGAAAAAGGAAACCACTAAAAACCAAGATGGGTGAGATGTTTTTTGTTTTAAGAAATGCCAATCTGATAGACAATATATAAATAGCCAAAGTCATAGACACAGAGCACTTGGATAATACCAACACTTCACTATATAACAGGAATTTTTCAACCCTTTTCTGTGGGAAGAGGGGAGGGCCAACTCATATCTCCCCGCCACGTTTGGATGGGTATTTTGTTAAAATGCACTGGCACCCCCAATAAGGCAGCAAGAAGCTATCCCGAAGTGGGATCAATGCCCAAGGGTGCAGGCATAAACAGGAGGCTGAAATGAGAGGCTCCAACATCTGTACCAACATTTGCCCAGGCCAGTCGTCCTCCAGACCAGCCCGGTGCTCGCAGTGACGGTGATGGAAAGGAGAAGAGTGGAGGGTGAGTAACTCTTCAAGCCGAGCTGTCCACCACCGGCCTGTCCATCCCGGGATCTCTTCTCTTGCTCTGCTGCCAATGCCACTCTGTTACTACTGCCAGCTGAAGTGCTCCTGATGCACAGTCCAGGAAGTGAGCAGCCTTACCTTAGGGACACAGATACCTTAAACTTCTAGGCACCAGTAACAGAACCGCAGACTGCCACGTGGCCACCTGCCCTGTAGGACCATTGCTTACGGTCTGAGAAGCATGGCGGTACGGCAGGCACTGATGGAGGGAACGGTTAGCCAATTCCTTCCCATCACCCCCGGGTGGTACCACAGGACTGTACATGAACCCTGATGGAGTCTGCAAGATGCCCTCTTGAGCAGTCTGATCTTCCCCTCAATGTGTTAGCTGAAGGTTACGTTAGATTTCTTCAATGGCAGCACATCTGATGCTGAAGACAAAAGCCCAGCTTCTCAGCCATTCCTTTTATTTTTTTCCCCAAAACAGAGGACTGCAATTTTCTGACTTTGTTAGTGCTAACGAGGCAAAAATTCCAAATAGCAAACAAATTCAAAGTGTAAGATTAGAGGCTAGATCTTCTCTTGGAGAAATTAGAAATACAGAGATGGAATGATTTTATTGGGACAACGCTGGAAGACTTCAGTTCTGGAGAAGCTGGAGAACATGTAGGAGTCTTTGGGCTTCCTGGGGGGGCGGGTACAGCTCAGCAGTAGAGCATATGCTTAGCACGCACTAGGCCCTGGGTTCAATGCTCAGTACCTCAATTAAAAAAAGTCTTCAGGCTTCTTTATCCTTTTTCCTCTTTAAGACTCCTTTGTCTTTAAGATGTTCATAGGTATTATAGTAGAATATGTGAGCTTGGCAGTCAGACCTGGCTTAGAACACCTAATAACTATTGGGCAAAGACTTAACTTTCCAAAGTCCTGGTTTCCTGTTAGACGAAGAGGAAGGTCATGACCATGACCACACAAGGCTGCTATAAAGGTTAAATAAGATAACATACGGAAAGCACCTCGTCAGGCTTAAGGAGCTCCTCAGAAAATATAACTTCCCCTGTCTGTTTCTTTGACCTTCTTCCTGTCATAACCCAATCACGCTCAATATAATAAAACAGCAGGTCGGCAGTAGAAAATTGAATCCTTTTCATTTGGCAAAGATCCCAAGACTTAAGCCATTCAAGTTGTCATTTGCAGCCTCAAAAGGAGCTGCATGTAGAAACGCTTTAGGATTTTTTTAAGTTGCTCTGAAACGAAGCGGCATGAAGTGATGTGATGTCTGCTTCTTTCCGTTTCTATGGTTAACAATGTGTTTCTCAGTTTTCTCCTAGTGGCTCCAAAACAAGTCTTCAGCTCTGAAAATACGGCAGATAAGGAGCATCTCGGTCGCTGGAACAGCACTTCACCGTGGAAGCGTCCTCCTCACCTGTGGAAACAGCCAGCAGGAAAGCTCGTCCTGCAGCGTCTGATGACCTCCACTTGGGGCTCCCAGGTCCAGGTCAAACTGGCACCGCTGCTGGCAGTGTGGGTCCCACACAGTCTTTGCTTTGGCAAAAACATCAGCATAATCCAACGTCAGGGTCCAACACACTTCCAATTAAATCATACTTGATGTAAATTTGACGTAAATAACATCACCGAGACCAAGTCCCATGTCACCCTGCAGGTCGCAGGTCGCCAGACGAGAATTCCACACACACTGAGAAGGGGGTTCTCAGGAGGCTCTTGTCCATGATACTTTCCAAAACATGCTCTTAAAGAACAGTTGCAGAAGGTGCCTTGCGGGACCAAAAGATTCACATCAAATTGCTTCTTCATCCTCGTACAAACATGTCTTTCAGGCCCCTGAGCAGAAAGGATGTGCTGAGAATGGTTCTCACCAGTGTCTTTAGCACAAGACTCAAGGATGCAACAGGGCCTTATAGGTAATGACTCACATGACCCCTGGGGTTTATCTGTGACAGAGTCTCCGGGAGAGAGAAGAGATCTTTCCATCGTGGATACGGAGCATGACAACTCCAAGCAACAGTATTCTCAGCCTGTATGTCTTGATGATAGCACGGGTCCAACTCCGCCTCAGGGCTAAAGGGGGCAGCTTCAGGACCAGGCAGCCTGGGTCTAAATGTCACAAGGAGAAGTGCTGGTCGCCCAATTTGTGCTCGGACATCTATCTGCAAGGGAGTGTGCTCCATGCATGCGGACTGAGCACGAGGGCATCACACGAGGCACACAGGGTGGAGTTCCGTTCCGTGACCAGGCCGGGAGATCTCGGGAGGCAACAAGGTGGATCTGAGCTCTGCACACACGCCTGGATTAAACTCTGTTTGCACCACTTAACGGTCGCTACCTCTCTTAAGTCCACGTGCCCGCTCTGAACCTGCTTCCTGATGGGTAAAATGTGGGCGGCCTCATCTAAAAATACTGTTTTAAGAGGTGATGAGCCCGCATACACTGAACTACTGGCACACAGCAGGTGGTCACAAAGATGAGTTCCCTCCTGCTGATGTCCCGGGAAGGAACGCAATACAAGGACCGCAGGATTCCAGAGAGGGAGTGGTCACTGTGGGCCCTCAGGACACTCAGGCCAAGCTGCACAGAGGACGACTTACTTCACCCTGAAAGGAATGGCAGGTTCAGGTGAGCGGAGTGGAGGGAGCAGCGAAAACCCTGGCACTGAAGCAGGGAGGAGTCGCGTGTGTGAGTGAAGGACAGAGAGCAGACACACACGGGCCGAAGCAGAGGGAATGTGCTGGGGGAACTGAGTCAAAGTGCACTGGGGCTCACAGAGGGCCCTGCATTTCAGCCTAAGGAGCTGCTCTGGACTTGATCTACAGTTTGTAGGACACTGCCAAAGGGTTCTAAGGAGGGATCGTGACAAAACAAAAGAGTTTTAAGACACTCCACTTGGTATGGACTTCAGACCATGGAGCAGGAGCGTGAAGACACAAGGGGGAGTTTGGAGACTCCTGTGATAGCATACCGACCCTGGGGACACACCCCACGACTGCGCGAAAGGAGAAGAAAAGCCGCAGGGGAGGAGCTGTCCGAGGCAGGGAGAGCAGCAGGACGCAGCTCACACAGCACAGGAAAGCAGTGCTGCTCAGAAGTGCCGAACGCCGCAGAGTCACCTGGGGAGAAGGAGGCTGTCCCTGGGGTGATCGGAGGGGGATCACAGTTCTGTGGTGAGGACAAAGCCCTCCCTAGATGGAGACTCCTAGCTCCTTCTCCACTGTTCCCTCCTCTTATCCTGCACTTGGTCCCTGGGGCTACAGAAGCTCTTGTCCCTTTTACTAGCAAATCACATACTTAGTGTTTCAAGACAAAGTAATGTAAGGGCGGGGAGGATACAGCTCAAGTGCTAGAGCACACGCTTAGCACATGTGGTCCTGGGTTCAATCCCCAGTACCTCCTCCAAGAATAAGTAAAAAGGTAAACCTAATTACCACCCCCCAAATAAATAAAAACAAACAACAAAAAAAGTAATGTTAAGTCTTTCCTGTACCCTTTCAACTCACTTAAACTTCCCTTAAGTATGATCGTAAACTGCTGGTTTACAACAGCCAACATTTAGGAGATGAAGACCAGCAGAAGTCAGGTATCAAGAACAGATACATGTTTATCCTAAACCAAAATTAAAGAATTAGAAACAATGGTGTGCCCCCCCCCCCCAGTCTGTGGCGTTGCCAAGTGACCATGTGTGAATAAATACTCCCTGGCAACACCGAACGTGCAGCTGGGAAGAAACGTGCACGCCAGCTCCAGCCCAACACTGAGTGAAGGCAGGTTTGACAGGTAAGGACCACAGCATCAGAGATTCCTCTGCCAGGAGGAAAGGCGTCGTTACAAGGATACGACACACTTACGTTTTAACAAAACAGGCTAGTAGCACGATCTTGCCGATAATGACCCACCTCTATTTCTCACTAGAACTTTTTATCAAATGTTTACTCTGTGCCAGAGGCTGCGTTTGGCACATGAAGTGGGATTGAGCTGAGTTCTAGATCTGCCGCTTTCTGGCTTTGTGACGAAACACCACCTAGCCATGTGGGGATTGGTTTCTTTACTGGAAAGCGGAGAACGCTACCAGGATCATGTCTTCAAAGTATGCGCTACGGGGCCCCGCAGTTCTGTGCTGACAGGTGGGGAAAGCACGGGGGAACCACCCAGGTGTATCTCTGGGTTCTTGACCTTGCTTCTGAATAACTTATTTTCACCAAGGACTCTGCTTAAGAGTTCGTCTGCAGAAAGTTTTTGAAAATTATTAGACTCGATTTCTACGATCCCTTCATTCTAGGATTCTAGACTCCTCCTGGCAAAACAACAATTTCTGATTATATAATTTCACAAATTAAGAGGTATGTGTCTTGACCACAATCTTTCCTTATGTGTTACTAGATGAACAGTGACATCAAAATAACTGATCTGTGAACCCAGGAGAGTCAGGACAGAGAGTTTTGCTTTTAACTACACGAGCCTTAAAATCCAGGCTCTGTCTGGATTTCCTGTCTGTCTTGTTGACAGAACACTAGCTCTCGATGCATTAAGATCCTGTAAGCACATTAAATGAGTGAAGCCAAGATGAAGATGACAGGCTTTCAACTTCCCATCTCTGTCTCTGTTGGCAACAGGATATGTATTTTTTTATTTAAACAAACAAATTTCTTTCATTTCCAACCATGAATAGATCAACAGAGAATCAGCTGGAGAAGAAAGCACCAGCAGAAAGGTACAGCTTCATCTGAAAACAAGACAAAGATGTAAGCGATGGGAAATGAGGACGGCTTCAACTTTTGTGTGACACTTCTCTACAGTAGCTGAATTTTAAAGCAAATTCAAAGACAGTACTCCTCAAGTGAAAATCCAGATGCTCCTTCTCCAAGCACATCCAGCTTGTTCTGCTGTTCTCTTTTATGCTTGTCTGCTCGCATTCATTTCAAGCTATTTCAATCCTAAGTAACAGAGCAATTTGGGCCTTGGGAGAGAAGAGGCGAGTAGCTCAACACACAGCTCTTCTCCCTGCAGCTCCAATGTCTTTTCATGATTATATAGGACACCTCATTAAAAAACCAAAAATAAAAAACAAAATCAAAACAGACCACACTGCTTTGGGGTAGATATTTTAAATGGCCCTTCCAGAACTTTTCCTTCCTTTCTACACTTGTCACTGAAGCTTTGAGAACGCCATGAAGACGACAATGGCATTAGGGGACCGAGAGACTGGGAGAACTTTCTCAACTTACTTGGGGTGGCTGTAGATCCAAAGCCCCCGCTGGCCGAGCTGAATGGGTTTTTGCTGGCTGCATCCTGGCTGGGTTTCCCTCCAAGGCCACTGAAGAAACCTCCCCCTCTTCCAGTGTTTCCAGACCCAAACATGCCTCCACTGGAGGAGGACGACGGCTGAAAAACAAAAGGGGCAGGAAGTGAGACAGGTCATTGGAAAATGGCAGGCCGCGTCCGTGGGAAGGAGGCACTAGCAGCTGGTACAGACGGAAAAAGCAAGACAACGCTGGAGGTGGTCAGAGCGGGCACAGACGCTCTAATCACCTCCAAAGCAGCTCAGCTCTGGACGGGAACACTTCCTCCAAATCACAAGTTCTCAAGCTATACTCTGTTCACGCTTCTCTGGAAACATGACTTACGGCAGGCAGGAGCCTCCATGGTTTATCTGCCCTGCTGCCTGTGGTCTCTGCTGGACATGACGCTGAGGGCAGGACAACCAAACCCTCAAGAGTTCTTCCAGATGAAAAGGTCTAAAAACATTTCTAGGTTATGATGAGGACCACTTATTTTGCTTCCGCTGGTGTTTGGCTGAACTCATCAGCAACGGACGAGAAGTGGTTCACACTGTCTTTTCTCCTCATTTGCGCACTTTTATTTCATAACGACTTTCCCAGTACTGCAGAAATCAGCTTAAATTAGCTCCATTGTTGAAATGATGACCACAGCTGAATTCCGTCCAGGTCTGCACATCTTATCCTCAGGGGATGCTTGCTAACTAAGGGCACATGCTGACACGAGGCTGTATAGGGCACCACACACTGTACTTCTGCTTAGAGATTGGTTCTTTAAGGAAGACTGGTGCCAGATTTGAGGACCATTAATATTAGGTAGATATGATATCTCCTTGGCTGATAATGTAGAGTAAGATGGGCCATTAGAAATGGGTCGCTGTGCGTAGGACTCCACAGGAGCCCCCTTGGAAGAGCGGGGGAGGGGTGCAAAAGTCCTCTTCCATAAAATGGGGAAAATAAACCAGCCACCTCAAAACAGTGGGTGAATGAAATGAGCTAAGAAATGCAGTGCCCTTCAGAAAAGAGCCTGATACGTAAGTACATGCTCAAAAAAACGGCTGCAGTTGAGTATTTTAACGATGAAAGCAGGCGACGACTGAGCATTTTCTATAAGCTAGGCACCTTTCTAAGCACTTCGCAAGTAACTGTTTAATCCCCACAGAAGCCAAACCTCTAGTGGGCCACCTCTGAAACATTCCCCCAGCGTGCCCCTCCTCTGCAGGTGCACAGCCACCAGCCCTGGTCTGAGCCACCTAACCTGAACTTTCTGTCTGGACTTCACAACAACTTCAGCGGCTTGCTGCTCCCTCTACAAGCTATGTTCACACAGCAGCCAGCACAACACTAGAAAATGGCAGTCAAACCATCTCACTGCTGTTTAAAAATTCCAAAAGACACTACATGACGTGGCCCCGTCCATCTCTCAGCATCACAGTTTATCACTCCCCGTTCACTGGGTACAGTCACATCAGCCCTCTGTGCCTTGAACACGACAAGCTAATTTTCACCTGAGAGCAACTTAATGTACTGACTTGTCTCTTTCTTTTTCCCTTTAAACTTCTTTAAACACAGTAACTGTTTATTACAACCATTTAATGATGAGTAACAGCTTTTTAAAACTTGGAATGAAATCCAATCATAAGAGCACAGGCTTCTGATAACTAGTAAACTGACTTTCAGTTTATTGAAAGGAAGGAAGATCTGACAACTATGCATGCAGAAATCACCGGCTTTCTTAGCCGACTGCCCTGCCTCAGGCTGAAACACAGGAAGCTGCCGATACACGGACATTTCTGTCCTACAAAAACAAGGACTGGCAATTTCAGACGGTTCAATCTCAATTTAAAAATATGATTTGAAAAATAATGGATATCTGGAGAAATGAAGAGAAGTGGGTAACTTCACTGCAGTGAGTGTGAAATGACAGTCACTGCATCCATTGGGTTAGGGTATCCCATTCACTTAATTATAATAAAAGCTACCAAAACGTTCAATTCTGGAAAATCTCCAAAATATAGATGGAAGAGTATAATGAGCCCATGTGCCCTTCACCCAGCTTCAAGGGCAAACTCCCAGCCAGGTGAGTGTCATCTGCA